ACATCACAACAGTGTGTCCTCATTCTCCCTCAATCACTGCAACAACTCAGCACCACACCCCTGAAATACCCAACCTGCAGCAATAAACCCACAGCTACCCTCAAAGAAGAAGACACCACCACTTCAAAGAGAACATATTATGAATTGATTGGGCATGTGTGGAAGCTCAAATTATAAATAATCATAATGTGCATGTTTTTATTCTATGTATATAAAATTTACATAATTTACCATTTGTTAAGAATCGTAAATAGATAAGATTTTGGGTTTGGCAATAAATAAAAAGACAAAAGAAGCAACTCCACACAATTAAGAAGTGACTTACCAAGTACCTTAGCAGTCTTGATCGTGAACTATTTGACTTCACAGCACAAAGGACTCTAGATTTTCACACCAGGTCTCCTTTCACTTGTGCATCAACATCCAGTCAGTCAGTGTTAAATGCATTTTCTCATTTAAATATCAATTCACAGCAGAGCTCTGTTGAAGGCTGTTACTTGTAAAGGTTGTAAAATGTACAGTCATCACAGCATCTCACTCTTTTACGTGTGAAGTGGCTAAAATGGAATTAAACGGTCCCTGGCTTCATAATATAAGGGTTTTCCTCATGCATTTTTATGGCTGTATCACATGCTCTCATTATGCTCTTGAAAACACTTGTTTTATTCAAGCAGGTTAAGTGGCTGCCTCTATTAGCAGAAACACAAAAGCATTGTCTTTAAGCAGATGTTCCACTACAGTGATGCAGTTCATCACTGATATTGTGACTTACTTCAGTTTAACACAGACTGAAATATGCCAGGTGGTCTCTTCATTGTTTGAAGTTTCATTTGCACTTCAGTGATTAAGTGTCATTCAAACTGTCTGCAGTGATGCACAGTTGACAGTTTTGATAGATTTGTGTGTCGAGTGTTTGTCATTTTGAATGGTCCAAATTGATCATATGTTTAAGACAAGATGTGATTGAAATCAGATTTTTCTTGTACCTTTCTTGTTACAACAATGAGATGCACCTTCCTCCTTGTCTTTGGCTATGTCCCAATTCAGGTGCCACATCTTTCTAAGGACTCTGTAGAAAGGAAAGGCATCCCTTACTATCATCGTTAGCTGGTTTGAGCACTGAAGCCCAGTAACTCGCATAACTAGCTCATTACCTTTGTCACCGGCATGGAATGACTCCTGGAATAGGGTGAACTGAGGGATCCAGCTGTTGCCTTTTTTGTTATTTAGAAATAATACGTATATATATTTGTTTGTTAGCATTACAACCTAGTTACAGAAATTAGTCAATTAATTGAGTCTTTGATCAAGACAAAACAAATTGATAGGTATTTTGATGATTGGTTAATCAATCATGTTAAACATTTTAAGTCAAACATTTCAATGATTTCTTTCCTAGTAATTACAATATTCAAGAGTTTGAACAGAACAAAACACATTTGATTACAGTAATGTCACTTAATAATCTAGGGTAATTTGATGGACATTTTTGTTGATATTTTATAAACTGAACTATTAATCATTTTACTGATGTTTACCACAAAAGGTACTGTGTAATTTATATACATTTGTATATAAATGTGGAGAGGAAAAAAGGAGGGTCTTATTCAACATGTCACTTTTCATAAAAACTGACTTTTAAGCTTTTATAGAGTTAGGAAAAACAACAGCTAGAAGTCAGCTTACATGGAGTCTGAATGGCTTAAGGTTTAAACATCCTGTGTGGTTCTTATATAAGTTCTGCATAACAACAAATCTCAGACTATAGAGGGTCCCATCCAGCAGTACATGATTATTTTCCTGCCAAAAGTAGAGAAAAATGTTGTGAACTACTAGACTGTGAGACACTGAAATATTTTTTATTAGAAGAGATGTGTTGAGTTGGTGCCAGGAAGAATATTTGCAGTTGAGGAACCCAGAAAACTGTTATAAAGCAAATCTGGGTCAGAATGATGCCCAGTGTTAATTATGGCATCTGATCAAAGAGCTTGAATGGGTTTGACTAAATGGATTGCAATCTGCTTCTCTTACCAGCTGCCACACTGTAATTAATGGTTTGTCATCATTCTCCATTCATGTGAGGTGCTCGAAACACCAACTTATCACTTCCTTTTTTCGCATATTGTGCATAATCACTGGGGTTTGAATTGAACTCTTATTATTTGTGAGCCAAAATCTTAAAAGAAAAACCTGGTGCACCACAGTCCCTTGTTAGAAGCAGGGATAAATAAAAGTATCAATTAGAACCTATTTTACTTCTCTAAGCTGCAAAGTGTGTGGAACAATTACCTGAGCTTTGTATGAACTGTCTGTATCCTGGTGGGACACTGGAGAAAAGGAACCTGATGAAAGAAGAGGTCATTCTAGATGTGTTGTGCTGTTATGCCTGACTGAGAGAACGAACACTAGAAACGTGGCAGCAGACAGAAAGATCTGGCAGACAACTCAACTTTGCTGTCCTTTTCATTTAATACTCAAGGTTTTCTAACACGATGTTGGATATTGGTTTTAATGGGACATGTTCCAACAAAAGTAAATAAAAGCAGGTAAAAAAAAGTCCAGGTCAATTATCCGGGTGGTGACACACCTCTGTCTGGTAAAAACAATCTGCTTAAGAAATGATTAAAGTATAATAAAAGTTTATGTGACGTAGAACCGCAAAGCGGAGAGATTTTGGTTTACTCACGATCACTTTTGCCACAGAGTGTAACCTGACTCACAGATGGAACGCTTGCATCAGTCCCGAACTCGACAAAAGTCTTGACACCAGAAATAAATTTGCAAGTGGCAGCTTTAATGCCATGGGGAGCTGGGTTTGCAATAGCTTGTTCTTTCAATGTCCCACTAATGTTAGTGGGACCTCACTCTGGTGAGGCCATTTCAAAAGTCGGCATGTTCGATGTACTCCCAGCTACATGTCAGATAGCAGTTGCGCAATGTCAGCATATGGATTTTGTACGATCCACTAGTCTTTGCAGACTTGAATTATAAGGGAGGGTCTTGTTTGTCTGCGGTCGCTATGACCACGAGCATACAGCACATGTGGTCCTTCGCTAAAGTTGTCCCTTGGAATTTGAGACCCGTACGCACACAAATAAGTTCCCCACACGGACTTGCTGCATTTGTTCAGTATTTTTATAAATATACAGTATATATATCATATTACTGTTTTGCACTGAGTCTGTTCTCCATTAATTTTTTTAATATCACAGTTAGTGGCTTGGCCTAACAGCAGCCTAAATCCACCATATAGGGACGTCAGGCACACGCCAGACTTGTGATCAGTTCCCATGCACCTCTTATTCGAAAGTAACACCTGAGAGATTGTGGTAATGTAAAATTGGCCTGTTGTGACACATGGCTTTGTGAGGAGGTGTATAAATACAGGCATCTGTATGGCTCCATGGTGTGAGATTACAAAGACAGTGAGATAACAATAATCATTTCAGGAGCGAGATTGCAAAGACACTCAGCGGTGATAAGCAAACTGCAAAAACAGTGAAAGAACATCATGCACTGGTTCATCAAGATGAAGAAAAATGTCAAGAGTCTTGAGTAAAGATCCTGGCTGGGCAAAGTGTCCTTACAGCCATACTTCTGGCGCTTTGCTCAAGTGGTACTTCATCCCCTATTTACCCTTGGAAGGTGGCTACTAAAAGTTTGTAGCTTCCTTCTTCACAGATAACAGCAGTATGAGTGTTTTGAATAAACTGATGATCATATGAATAGAATGCAGAGATGCTACATGTTTGTTTGAGACTTTTGGTAACCTTATCACAACTGAAGTACATAAGTGCCGTGTATTCAAACTCACCAGTGCTTCCGATGTAATCTGAAGGATAAACTTGTTAACAGCCCCTTTTAGTCCTACGTGGATCGAATGTTTGATTCTAAAAGGAGCATTTTTGGTGGTTACATTGCTTTGCAAGGCTATAATAACAGGCCTTAATGTTCAGAAATTTAAAAAAATGCTGGGAGGTAAATTTGCCCATTAATTTTCTAGATTCACCAATGTCTAAAAATAAGATCCTTTCCATTTTGTTGACAGAAAACAGAAAAGGAGAGAAACCTGCCTTGAGGCTCCTTCAGTAAATCTTTCCTGAGGGCCAGGAGCACCATGTTTGGATCATCAATGGGCTAACTAACTGTTAGCTCTGTGTGGACTTTCCAAAGTACCAAGACTTCTCACTTGTTTTATTACTATCCACTACACATATTGTTTGCCACTTATTTGTCATCATTCCTCAATGGCAGTACCTTCTCCTGGACAGACCGGTCTGGACTGTGCCATTGTCCTGTACCAGTTATCCTGACAGACACTTTCTTGGCATTGAGGGTAAAGAGCTTTGTGGTTAGTGCCAAACTGATTTCCTCGGTGGCTCTACTACTGGTGCTGGCTGTCTGCATGGCATGTTGACAACAGCTTGAGAGGCAACTTGATTGCCTCTTCTCCTGCTCATTATTACAGTATTTGTCACAAAATATGACATGATTTCTTTAATCCAAACACTGCTGAAATGATGATCCAAACAATTGACTCCTGACAGAGGTGACGCTAGTCTCATCATACACAATTTATTGACCGTTTGTATCTATATACAGTTATCTTTCTAAAGTAAATTGTGTTGGCCTCCAATGATGGTCAAACATGAATCAGTGCACTACTGGGCGTTTTGATTATTGATACCTTGACTGAAAGTTCACGCATGAAATAAGGTCTCAATTATAACATGGAAAAGCTTGTAGACACGAATGGGTAGTTGTAAATATGAGGTACAAAGAAAAGAAGAAACTACTGTTTTTACCATGTATTTACATTCAGTCTCAAGGATCCTATGCTTTGTTTTTGTATTTGCAACTTTGATTTTATGTATATTTTTTAATAAAACTCAACTAGACACACATACACTGACCTGAAAGCCACTTCACAGCCACTTTTTTTTTCAGTCAGACCACAACCTTTTCTCCAGATCTAACCGATGTCTCTCCTGCCACTCTAGGTGCTATCTGTTGGATGGAATCTCTAAAGGGGCCTGGCTGAACCGCTCAAGCATCATATTTGCAGGGAACGACAAGTGGTCTGTGGACCCACGAGTCTCCATCGTGTCCAGTGTGGGCGACAAACATGAGTACAGCCTTCAAATACAGAGAGTGGATGTAACTGACGATGGCCAGTACACATGTTCTATTCAGAGTGAGCGCAACCCACGGCCAAAGCTTCTCAACCTCATCGTAAAAGGTGAGTGTTTGTAATCCTTGCTCTTCTGTACGGTTACATATGTTAGTCCTTCTGTTAAAGTATAAAGTAATAACTTTCTCCCTTTCCATTAGCGTGTTATGGATTCCACTTGTCTGTGCCTGTATATGATACATGGGTTAAATAGAAGATAATTACTGCATATTTTGATATAACTCTTGTCCTCCCCTTTTTTTATTTATCTAACATCTTGTTTGTTAGTCATTACAAGGATCATTTAGTGCAACAAAATGTCCATAACAAATGCAACAGTATTCTTGTGTGGCCCGTGTACCTCATGGTCACAGGTGTTCCCGGCACCATCTGTGCTGTAGAAAAGTCTGCCCATTCTTTTATTGTGAATAATAGCAAGAGCTTGAGAAATGTAACCTTTTATAAAAATAAGATAAAGTCTCTTCAGGAGAGGAATGTCTTCAGTGAAGGTAAACAGACATTGTAGGGTACTTGTACCTGTAGACTACGAAACACAAAGAAGCAGCCTGTTGGTTTGAATGACTGCAGGCAGACTTTATAGCTTTAATCAAGCCTCCCTGGGTTTGGGTCACAATAGTTTACAAAAAAAGATGTGATGCTCAGGACTGTTAGCTGTATTTCTTGTTTCACTGACATGATATATACACAGTGCTACTACTCTAGTTAACTGGTAATAAGACTTTGAATTTTAGTCTGTAACCTGTAGTGAGGGGGCTGTCCAGAACCCCCTGTATGACTTATTCAGGTCACAGAGTAATTGACAGGAGTATCCGAAAGGCTAATTTATGCTTCTTTTACATACTGTTTGTATGCCAATGCAGAATGTAGTTAAGCAGCCAAACGGGAAAACTGCTTCAGTCAAAACCCATCTTCTAAATGTTATATTTCTTTAATAGGCTGCTGAGTGAATGGACCAACTTTAATGTGTTCAGCTGGGAATATTAACGTGAATGTTATCAGACAAGGTTCTGCTTTTAACACAATGGCCTTCATTCATTGACCACTGATGTTGCCTTAAGCAGGAAACAGATGTATTGTTTTCAAGCCAAGCCAAGGTTATGATTAATTTTCAATGGAACATAATGTTGGATATACACAGTGTTGTATTAATAGAAGAGCTAAGGGTCAGAAGCACTCAGTTGTAGAAGTGTTAACTGTGATATGTGAAATGTGCAAGTAAAAACAGCTCTCCAGCTGGCATTGCTTATAATGACATATGGAGAGAGCTTAGAAAAAAAAATGTTATAGTGGTGTGAGCATACCTGCAGTTTTTTGTACTTATATAGATTGTCTTGGTGCAAATACACTAGAGCACAAACAGCGTGGACAGTGTTTTTATAAACTGTCATCATCTGAGGCTGCAGATTTCACATGGGATGAGCACAATAGTAAAAACAAACCTTCTCAGGTGTTCGTCCTGTTAAGAAAACACTATCAAATAGCACACCATGAGCAATAACATAGAAAGCAGTGCACCCTCAGCTCATTTCGTTATTTGACATTTTCTAAGCTGCTGGCTATCACATGTCAACATCAATCTTCCTGCACTGTACTTATAAGAGTGAGTGGGTGTATGGTGCTGCTGTTCCATTTGAATGACTGTGTCTGTTTAGGTAGTTGTCTGTTATAGTGCTAATAACAATGTAACTCACTTTACTCTCTCTGAAAATGGCCCAACGTGCACCTGTTGCATTATGAGAGAGTCAATGAATAATAAGGTGCCGTGTTTGGAGGTATTCCAGATTATGACATTGAATTATAACAGCTATAGACCAAATATGGATTTCTGGGGTCTGATGCCAATACTGATATTAGGGAGTAAAAAAAAGTACAATACTGATACATTTGCAGATATATGAAAATGGCAATGATTACCAAATGATGATTACCCTCATGACAAAGACATGTAGTGGAAGTCAGGGCTTGTACTCTATTTTAATAAACAAAAATGCAACCAAATATATAGAATTTGAATTAAGAAAATATATCTTCTCAGGAAAAATATAAACAAATGCAATATTCTGCATCATTTATTCTGTAAAAAAAAAAAGTAGATATCAGCACACATTAGCAAATATTAATGCTCATACCAATGTCTGTGAAAGGATCAGATGATTTTTATTGGCCAACTGACACAACAGTTTGACCAAAGCAAAACCTTCCCTGTGTAGTGAACTTCCTCTTCCTCTTCTCCCCTCCTGTTTCTTTCTGGTAAATGGTGAAGTCACTCTTAAACTTTACCTATATCAATATTGGCCTCAAAATTGACTTTATTGAGATGGTTGAGTACTGACCAAATGTGACCTGTCTTTTGTGTTACATTTTCATTTCTTAACTTTTTGTCGGAAAGTCGATTTCAAACATTGCACGGACAAAAGGATAAGCTTAAAAAGAAGGCTTTGCATTAAATATTACCGGAAACATTTTGCAACTGGGATTTCAGTGACTTCTTTGCAGTAAGTAAGTGTAATACAGATTTTAGATTTGAGGAAAAAGATCACTCGTACTGGATCAATATGTTGTACTGGCTGATACCATGAATTTAGGTATCAGGAGAGAAAGAAGTCAAATTGATTCATCCTACTGAGTTAAATAGAATCCTCAAAAGCCCTAAGACGTGAAATTTAGATGTACCTGGGAATCCAGTTGTTATCACTAGAAACTCCTTCTACGACTTATTCAGCAGTCCTGGCCATATTAAGCCGTTTCCATGACCACTTTGCTCCAGCTGTCAAAAATGTTCACTTGTCTGTCCATTAAAACACTAGAACTCTTCCCTGTTGTACTTGGTGTAGTGTGTGTGAGTGAACTGTGGAGTGGTTGAGTTACACATGACAGTCCCACTGACAGCAGGCAGACCCACTTCGGCTTAAACAGGCACTTTTCCTCCACCTCAGCGACATATCACAGGTGCACCATGCCTCTAAATATACCTGTGATCAACCTTAGTCAGCTGCTTGCCAGCCATTAATAGTCACTACAGGACTATCATGTTTTGTAGATGTTGGCTTTCTGAAGAACATTCTGTAATGGGAATCTTACCAGGGGTTTATCGGGTCATGGCAGCTTCTCACCACTGGCCATATGGCCACAATCAAACCAAAGCTAATGTGCCAGCTGTCAGCCGTATAATACGTTTTGCACTGCCCAGAATTCCTGATGGATGTGACCTAGTGGCTGAGATTTGGCAACATTTTGACCCACAGATACCAATTGTTATTTTACAGTTCTCAAAAGATGAAGATGCTAGTAATTACCCGCGCCAAGCAGGTTATGTTTTTACCATGTCTGTTTAGTTGCTTGTTGGTTGGTTGTTTTGTTTGTTAGCAGAGACACACAAAAACTTTAGAATGAATCTCCACAAAACTTGATGGAGGGATGAGACATGGGCAAAACGCTTTTTTTTGACATTTTCCCTCTCCCTCTACATTTTCCATCAGGACCCATGTATTTTCCAGGGACAAATACATGGATCCTGATGGAAAATGTTTTTGTCACATTTGACGTGTGAGTGTGTGGTACAGCTTGTTTAATTGTACACTACTACACTTCGTTTTAGTCAATAATGAACATCAGTCATACTCCGAGACACAAGTTTTTATACCATAAAACAATAATAGGGTCAAACAAATGTTTAGTAACATCAATTTCATAACACATTTTGAAACAATAAACCAACGAACAACTTGATAGAGCCATGGTCAGCATCTTTTCAGTTGAGATGATGATTGGACAAAACTGTCTGATGAAGAAAAGGTTGGACATAGAGTTCCTTAAATATGCTTTGGAGTTGTTACTTTTACTTTCAGACCTGCTGCTCGATACAATTTGATATGTTATCTAATTTTGCTACTGTTGAGTCATCAGGCACTTGGTTCTCCAGCAGTTTAACCTGAGCTGTGTGTCCGCATGTGAACTGCAGGCAGGAAGCATGTTGAAATGCAGATGACTCACTCAGGCTGATAAATGCCTATGGTCATGTTCCTGACAGGGCACTCAAGGTAGTTAAAATTAGCCTCATTAAATTGCCAGACACTATTATTTCCATTATTTTATGTTGGACTGTGACATTTGTGTGCTGTTATGGCAAATCCATAACTTCACACCATATTGTACTTTTGTTTGTTTGCTTTTTCAAACTCTGTGCGTTATGAATCATTACCTGTCACTGTGCCGTAGTTGTGTACACATGCTTAAGCCCACTCATGGAGAACAGGGATTTCTTTACAGATGAAATGTAGCAGGGGAGCAGCTCTGTCGTGTTGCTGAGGCTTCTGGGAGCATGCTGTTTTTTCATCTGCTGAGAGGACAAGGGAAGACTTTAATCTGGGCTTTTCAGTCCAAGCATACAACATTTATTAATGCTGCAACAGGAATGTTACAGTTGAAGTAAAAGGATTTCATGGCACTGGGTTTTTTGGCAGTTTTGCTTTGCTAGACTGGGTGCACCATGAGGAGTAACAGAAAATCTGGGGAAGAGGGTATTACTGTGTATGTATGAAAATATGCAATGGTCTCAACTCATTACATGTGCATTGAAGGGTCCTTGGCCGGCTTATCCACCAAGCAATTATGTCTATCTGAGATGCATGTCTGTGCCTGCAATGCTGGGTGACTTCCTTGTATTTGGTCATGTCATTATAGTTTTGTCAACACATATATCTTTTCCAGTATTGGGGGTGTGAGAAGAATAAGAGAATGCCAAAAATACAGGAGCTGAAATACAAGTATTTTACTTTTATACTAGAGACTGACAATTTATCAGATTTATTTAAAATTGGTGGTACCAGCATTTAT